GTGTATTCCCATTGAGTCTTAGTCTTGGAAGAGGGTTTGCCCTGAGGGGACCTTACCACTTTTCTTGATGTCTCCTGGGCCAGCAACTTGCTTGTTCTTGATGTATTCAGTCAGACTACCTATATTGTTTTGTATTTTTCCTGTCAGTCTTTCTTTCAAGAAGTATCTTCTGTTCCTCTAGTTGCTCCAGGTTGGTCTGCTTGCCCTTTCAAGTGGAAATTTCCCACCTCAGAAGATTCTGGGTGAGGTTCAGGATTCTACCTATGGTCTTATGTAATGCAGAGGCTCTGCAGAAAACCTCACTCACTGGGCATGTTGTAGCTCCATTTTAGGTATTCCAATCAGTTATAGACAGAAGACGGACTTACAAGCTTTCGATGGAGATATTTCTGACTATTCTTTTCTCTCCTGCTCACGGGTTTATTTTATAATGATATGCCAGGGAAATCAAGATTCAAAAGACAGCCAAGCATCTTAACATTATTTCCCTCCTCTTGCCCATTAGAACCATGTTTCAATCCCTGTATCCCAGAGCCCTGTTTTCCAAGTTTGTGCATATGTCATTATTTACTTCTGTCCCACTTAGCCCATGCAGACTTGCCTAGTTGTTTTCCCATCTGCTTTGTTTTCCATTCCCTTCCCCATTCTTGATTATTGTCCCCCTCACTAGCACCCAAACTATCCTGTATCCATTCCCTACCCTGTGCTTCACCTTCCCCTCCCTCCCTCACCTCATCTCCCAGGATCTGGTAACCATCAAAGAATCCCCCCCACCCACCCACACACACACACTTTAGTATGAGTTCTTTTTCTTAGTCTTTTACATTAGTGGTCCTATGCAGTATTTATCTTTTAGTGACTGACTAATGTCACTCAATATAATGTCCTTAACATTCACCTATATTATGAGGTGGCTTGCAGTTTCCTTGTTATTTTTCAAGGTAGCATAATATTCCATTTTGTGTATGTACCACAGTTTGTTTATCCATTCTTCAGCTGATGGATACTTTAGCTGTCTCCATCTTTTTGATATTTTAAATATTGCTTCTATGAACATTGGTGTGTATATATCTACTCGTGTTATAGCTCATATTTATTGTGGGCATCATTTGATTTCTTGATTGCTATTTCCCTGAATGTTGATAGTTGATCCAAGAAGAATGAAGTCCTTGACAATTTCAATGTTTTCTCCATTGAAAATAATGTTTTTTATTGGTAGAGTGGGAAGGATTTTGGTTTTCTTTATATTGAAATGCAATCCATACTGAAGGCTGTGCTCTTTGATCTTCATCAGTAAATATTTTAAGCCCTCTTCTGGCGGAAGCCATGCCACCAAGTAACGGAATGGCGTGAGATCCTAAGCATGAAAATCTCATTGTTTAGCAAAGCGACAATGAGTGTCTCCTTGATTGTCAAAGCCCCAAGGGGAATCTCATGCCGAAGCCTTGCAGTTCTTGTGTTTTCCTTTTGTTCATGGCTCTATTTTGATCTTATTATAAGAAGTTCTTTAAAATTTTTCTATATATTCACTTGATAATTTGCTATAATCATAGTAAAAATTAAAATTACATTTAGACACTCTCTCACTAAATTTAATCATGTAAAGTTATAATAGTTGCTTTTTACATCAACAATAAGTCTCACCACATCATAAGGAAAAGCCACATCAGCTAAAAGCTTTTCAAGCTTAAGATTACATCCTGCTTAGCTTCGCCAAGAAACACTGAGGCACCTGAAAGAAACAATCTTACAATCAACATCCTGCTTAGTCTGTAGAGCAAGAGACACTGAGGCATCGGAAGATAGCAATGAGCCAATCAAGAGCTGTGGGAGCACGTAGAAATGTTGGTAGAAATTTAACTAAGAGGTTTTGGGATATTGTTAGTATAGGGGAATTGCTGCTTAGTTTTTGACGATGAAACTTTAGGTACTTTTATATTCTTATTCTTAAATCTATTATAAGTAACCGACATGTACGACAGTCACGGTAAAAATACTATTGTGATTGTGGATTGTGATTAATGAAGCTACAAAAAGGAATAGATGAGAGTAAAAATGCAAATCAAGATATAGAACTTTGCTTAAAAGTTAATTTGACATTCTTAGGGGGATTAAAGAAAAACAAAAAGAGTTACGGAAATGAACCCGATGTTATCGGGATAATTAGGGGATGCAAGGGAACAAGATACAATAAAAATCAAAGGAATGTTCTGATGTTTCTGGTTTTTGTTGTAACCTGAATGTTTGTAGAAAACAAAGAATGTAATACTTAGTTAAATTGCAATTGATTGTACGTGACTATAGAGAGATCCTAATAGTATATAAGAAGCAAAAAACTTTTGAGTAAAGTCATCATCATCTGCCTAAGACTCACGACCCATCGACTCTGTCTGTCTATGTGTGTGTTTTTCACCAACTCCAAATCCCCCTTTGAGAAACCCCTAATAATTTGTCAAGGCTGGTCCCTGGAACTCTTCACTTTCAGCAAGCAAGGTTGTATCATACGCATATCATCGGTTCTAAATGAGTCTCCCTACAATCCTGAAGACGTTTTTCTTCATATAACCCAGGTTCTCGGATTATTTGCTGAGCATACAGGTTGAATAAGCATTGTGAAAGTATACAACCTTGTCACACACCTTTCTTAAATTTAAACCATTCAGTATTCCCATATTCTGTCCGTACAACTGTCTCTTTGTCCATATACAGATTTCTCCATAATCACAAGTAAGTGTTCCAGTGTACTCATAATTCCTAATGTTGTCCATAGCTTGTCATAATCCACACAATTGAAAGCCTTTACATAGTCAATAAAGAATAGGTAAACATCTTTCTGATATTCTCTGCTTTCAGCTAAGATCCATCAGACATCAGCAACGTTCCTTGTTCCAATGTTCCAATTTTCCCTTGTTCCTTGGCCTCTTTTGAACCTGGGTTGAACCTCTGGAAGTTCTCAGTCAACATATGCTTGCAGCCATTTCTGTATTCCTTTTAGTAAAAGTTTACTC